TGAGAACTGATCTGCCCGTCCACTTAAATACATGTACAGATCATTTATATTAAGGCATTGCCAACATCCTTATTAATATTTAACCAGCATCAACAACATATAAAATAAACATACATTCAATTCTATAAAATTAAGCAGATAGTCACTAATTAAAGAGTCGGTCGTAGCGCCGCTGTCCGGGCAAAGTTTCCCTCATAATACGCTGCATGGCGTGTGTTAAATCTCATTTCATTTTATAAATTATTAAATAAACATGTTATCTAACAAATTGTGAATTATTCACGAAAATCAATGTGAATATTTATAACTCACAATCTGATATGGAGATAGTGGGTTTTATATATACAACAAAACTATTAGCATTCACGTAATTTCGCTCGGTCAGGCCATTTTCTAGGGAATTTACATGTGGATCTGATTAATGATATGATTTCACAGATTACCCGTTGGGAGATCTTGCTTAGAATAAAGAATTTGTCAGTTCTACTCGCGGGTATTAATAATCATCCTGGAATAATAATTACTTCCTTGAAATGTTTGGATACAAATAATGAATAAACTAAATGTTAGCGTTTCGAAATCGTCATTGCTCTTAGGATTACTTTCGGGAAGTTGACGTAGCTGACAAGTTATGTTGTGTATAAGTTTGTGTTTTCTCGTGTGACAGGGGAGTAGTGGTAGCTCAGTGTCTAAGGCCCACGCTACGGGGATCCCAGGTTTGATCCCGGTGTTGGCAAGGAAATTTTATCGGGATTTTCCCCAGTGGTTCACCTTTGTAAACGATCTAGTTTTTCGTATTGGACGGACAACCTGTGCGCATAAAAAAAACCCTTGGCAACTGCAATTCGAAATAAGAGGCCGTATGTATTAAATTGTCACCTTTCAAAACACTAAAAGTAAATGGTCTGATTTGCAATAAATTTATAAAGAAATTTACACAAGTTTCAATTTTAACAGAACTGTTTTGTGTATTGCGTTCAGAATCCGTGGATATTTATATTGGAAATTGTGTGCCCTGTTTTAGAAGAATTTAATTAATTACCAAATCTGAATGATTATATCAAAATGGATATGTTTTCTTTGTGGAATTGGGGAGCCGAAGTCTCTCTATGAATAAGGCGCTGGTTAACTAACTAAGAGCTCTGGTTACCCATAAATTTCCAGCCTGCATTCCCTATCGCTAGGGAGCAGGACGTGGTCATTCAGATGTGAGAAAAACATAAGTCTCGTGTACATGTTGACAGTTGGAATTCGAAATACAGGCCTACTGTATGGCGTACACCCGTTTTCATTAGCCCCACCCGCACAGAAAGATAATAATATGACGTTAATCCACATTTCATTGAATTTCCGTCTTGATAAGCCCATTTGCAGTAGAAAAGTATGACGTCATTTCATTTAATTTCATTTTATAGAATTAAGGGTGGCTCAATGAATAAGGGGATTCTCTGGCTTTGTTTCTCCTTGTTATTCTTGCACGATGAACAGCCTGGCCATGATCGGTGTCTAGACGTTCAGATGTTTCATTTCATTTATGGAATAACATACTTACAAGCAAACTTTATAATCTAATTATGTTTGTATGGGTTTTTTACTTGGGTTTTTGTTGAATTTACGATCTAATTTCACCAGTTTGACATTACATATTATTTAAAGAATCTTGAAATAGAATGAAACTGATGTACATAAAACCATCTTTAAAGTTCGAAGGAAAAAGAAATTCAACTACAATTATTTTTTGAAAGCAACATCAGGGTATGATTTATAAAGCCTGGTTTGATTGTTAAGTAAAGGAAAATGTTTTGCAAGTTATTTTAAAATCGCTAATAGAATAATTAAATAAAGATGGCGATCTTAAATCACTTTACCTACATGGTAATACTGGTTCTAGGAAGCTATAAAGATGATAATATATATAAATCATTTATTTATACAGAATTTGTCAGATTTTTAAGCTTTCTAAATCTAGGAGTGGCGGCGGTAATAGTGTGTGCGTGTGTGTGTGTGTGTGTGTGAGAGAGAGAGAGAGAGAGAGAGAGAGAGAGAGAGAGAGAAAGAGATGGGACTCGACACAAACTATGTCATTTCGGGATTAACACATTGTTCAATTTTATTTCAATAATTCGCTTGCGCGTAGGGGTTTTTAGTAGTGGGAGGACCCGGAGAAAACCCACGAGGTTGGATAGGCGACCCTACTCCTTGTCACGTACAACCGGGAATCGAAACCCCGCCAGTTGAATCAATGACAGACCGAATGATACAGTGCGCACGTGCTAACCATTCGGCCATCCACCCCACCCCCACCACCCGGTTGTGATAGTTGAGTGGTAGGACACTGGCTATTTCTGTTGATACAGAATTTGTAAAAGATGTTTAAGTTTTCTAAATCTAGAAGAGACGGTTGTGATAGTCAAGATGTAGAGAACTGACCCCTCGGAGTAGAATGTCCCGAGTTTGATTCCCGTAATCGGGGTTTAACGTTTATTCGTCACAAACTAGGTCATTTCGGGACTAACAAATGGTTCAATTTTATTTCAATAATTCGCTTGCGCGTAGGGGGCTTTAGCAGTGGATGGAAACTGGAGGAGCCGGAGAAAACCCACGACGTTGGACAGGCGACCCTATTCCTTGGTACGTACAAACCTGGAATCGAAACCACGCCACTTGACTCAATGGCAGACTTCTGATCAAATTCGCACGCGTTAACCATTCGAACACCAACCCCCTTGAATTCGAAGATGAATAGGCGGAAACACTGCGGTATTGGGCAGGATTGCACAACACATATTGCATAATATGTAATCACTAGCAGGATACCCGGGACCAATTCGCCTAGGGCCCAAATTCTCCCGGGTCCCAAATTCACCGTATGTATATATGTTTGCCCATCACAATTTGCCCGGGGACCAAATTCGCCAAGGGCCAAAGTTGTCCTTGGTTCAAATTCGCCAGGAGACCAAATGCGGCGTATGTATGTATGTTCGCCCACAATTAACGCTTCGCCGGGGGCCCAAATTCCCCATGAACTCAATTCGCCCAGGGCCAAAATTCGCCCTGGGCCCAAATTCGCCCGGGACCCAAATTCGACCGCGGTCTAAATTCGTCCAAATTCGATGGCCTAAAACATTCACTGGGTCATGCGGGTTAACTGGATACCACATGTGGGGCTGGAGCGTGGCGACGAAGCGTGGTGAGCGAATACACATACACACCCATACACACTTTTCATTTTATTTGTATACACTAGATACACGATATAAAACAACCTTGTCCCCCCAAAAAATATTGTGTTGACGAGACGTTAAACCTTAATTCATTCCATTCCAAATAAATAAGCCGCAGTATCACGCGTTAGTGAAAACTACCCTTTTCCTAAAGTCTGGTTGGGTGTCCATTGAGTCAATTCGCGTGGTTTCGATTCCCCGCCACTACGTCAATAGAATTGGGGCCGCCTGTCCGAATTTGGGAATTTTCTCCCAGTCCCCCGGCTTCCTCCCACTGCTACAGCAAGCGAATTCTTGAAACAAATGTCCCCCTCTCTCTCTCTCTCTCTCTCTCTCTCTCTCATATATACCCATTGAACTTTGGTGCGCCACTGTCATCGAGCTTTTTAATAAACGAGTCATAAATTAGTCACAAAAAATATTACCCATTGATTAAAGGCTATCTTCGTTTTACAGAAATATTGTTCGTGACGAAATGCTTGGATGCATTCACAAGCCAGGTATAATGAAGATCTCCCCCGAGATGTAATGTCGCAATAATAAATAGATTATCAGTAATTATATAGTCAGACATATGGGATTAGTGACGTGATCTCATCGTAAAAATTAAAGTCAATAAATTATGAAATACTTCAGAACAAACACATAAATAACAATATGTTTTACAATTATATTGTAATAGTTAACAGAGCCGTTATAACCTATTATATCAGTTACAAAGAGATAATGCTGTTTGCATGAAAACAAAGCCGTTATAACCTATTATATCAGTTACAAAGAGATATCCTGTTTGCATGAAAACACTACAGAAATTGTTACCAAATACTGTATGTATACCATGTTAATACCATTACCGACATCCTGAAATGAAATGAAATAGGTGTTTAACGTCCCATTATCCGCGCCGAGCGGGCTAATGAAGGCGGGTTTACGGCATACGAGTCACATTTTGCCCGGGTAGCGGCGCTGCGACCTACCCTTATATCGAATTCCAAATCAAGGGTCCTTTTACATGCACACCATTGTATAAACAGGACCTCGGTTTTTTGTTTCATCCGAACAACTATATTATGCTGCCCCTTGCCAGGCCCTCCACCCTGCACCACTGACAAGGGGGAAAACTCCGCTGACATGCTCTACAGACTTTATACACAAACTAGCGCCGCCTAAGGTATATTTATCCCGAACATCATCGAATAGATTTATTGTAGGTGCAACGAGTACACTGGTGTGCCTCGGTTTGTACACCATCCAAACGGCTAGCCACGTTTATTCGCTCTCCGTCCTGCGCCATTAGAAAATCAGACGGGGAAATCCCGAGGAACCTTCTCAGCAAACAACGGAATATAACCTTGGACCTATAGAGAGAGAGGGGTGGGGAGGGTTAACGTCCACTCAACACAGACTGGGCAATTTCGGGACTAACATAATTAATATGGTTCAATAATATTGCGCACAGGGGTCTTTAACTGTGAAAGGATACCGAAAGACCCAGTCAAAGCCCATACGGTTGAGCAGGCCTTATGATCTAAAGCGCTCGCGTTACACCCCACCCCACCCCCTCCCCTGACCCACCACATACATACACACCCTGAAAGAAAAGCCGTTGTTTCAAGCATCAGGTGTCAATTAAATGCAGGAAGGAAATGTTCTCTTAATATCCTCATCAAAGAGGCTTTTCAAATAAAATTAAGTCTTATTTATTCATTGGCCATGATATAATGACGTTAATTTGTCTCCTTATTTTCTTTTCTTCAGATTATGTATTGACCAACATCCATTTCTCTACAGACTGTATCAACCGTTATCTGCTATCTCATTCAGCGTGATCAACGATCGAAAGAGAGGCTGTAGTGCGGATATCGTCTGCTTCTCTCAACCAGGTGTTATTATCGCGATTTATTGACGAGATTTCTAGAAGGAAACAAGTTTAGTTAAAAGGATATTTATTTTTTTCTTATCCGACTCACACCGGTTTGGAATTTTTGGGGGGGCTATTAACATGTTTTGTGATTTTGATAACGGATCTTTATTTACCATTAACAGTTAAAATGTCTGAAACGGTTTGGAGACCCATGATTCTTTGGATGGTGACAGTGGTGTTATTAGTGAATATTGCTGAAATATTTGGTAGTAATTCGCATGATAACCCCTTCGCCAATACGGTTTTTGGCGGGAATGAAGTCAATATGTCTATGCCATGTCCTGCCAAATGTCTGTGCAGCCGGGAAGATATGAATGTACGTGTGGACTGTTCCGGACAAAATCTAACAAGTATTCCGCAGAATTTTAACCGTTACACAACCCATTTGTAAGTAGATATAAATTTATTTTATCTATGTAGCTGTTATTATTATTGTTGTATATACGATAAGTACCATGATATTACTATTAATAATAATATACGTAGTTAATGCTATCGGCTGGAGGTAATTGTGACTCACATTAATCAAGCAAATCAATGCAACGTAAACAAATAGTAACCATATTGTTTTAGGTCTACTTACATCGGGACTGAGTCCAAGAGACTTATTAATGAAGTTTTATAAATTTATGTTGACGTCTGACTTATATAGGTGATATATTTAAAAAAAAATTCAAACCCAGCATGGGCCGAACTTGCTGGAAGCGACTAGACGCAACTGCCAGCAATCAGTAGTTGCTCGAAACATTTGCTAATGATTTACGTTTCGGCATACACTGCAACGCTTCTTTGGTCTTTCGGCTGGCCAAAAACAAAGATGTTCCGAAAATTGATCTAGAACATGCCGACTGTGATTTTTCGCCTTTACAGCCAAAGGCAGTAATTCTGGGGCCGAATGTCGTTTTATATCTTCTGTCCATGTGCAAGTCGAACAACTGGACGTGACTAGTTTCTGTGGGCCTTTTTATGAACGCGTAGCGATCACATTGTTATGGTCTTGTTGGACAAGATCGTATTCATGCAGCTGCAAGATCGGTCTGCATTAGGCTTTACTGCCAAACAGCATTAGAGCATAACTAATACTGTATCAAATGGTTCATAATACGGTATTGACGACAGCCGAAAATCAGCACACTCCATACTGATTCTTCTCTTAAGACTTCCCTTTCGTCTCGGGGGGTTGGATGGCCGAATGGTTAGCACGTGCCCACTGCATCATAAAGTCTGTCATTGAGTCAACTGGCGTGGTTTCGAATTCCCGGTTGTACGCGACAAGGAGTAGGGTCGCCATTGCTAAAGACTCCTACGCGCAAGCGAATTAGTGAAATGAAATTAAACCATATGTTAGTCCCGAAATGACCTAGTTTGTGTCGAGTGGACGTTAAACACCATTTCTCTCTCTTTCTCTCCTTTTCGTCTTTATAAAAGCATGACGATGTTTATTTACTAGTTCGTCGATGCAGTGTTTCAAGGCTTATTAAACAAAGTGCGAAGTGGGTAGTACGGCAGCTCACTAACCAAGAAGGAGCCAGCGCCTTACGCACTGAGCCACCATGGCTCAGAATGTCTATAACACTTTATATCAAAGACAGACTTTCAATGTCAAAGAACCTGTAAATAACCATTCCGGCTTCTCTTTATAAAACAGGTCCAGCGGTTGCGATAGTGTGTATGATCGACTTCATCTCAGCGGCGCTGCTTATATAATAAACACACATCGTGTTTGCTTTCTCTGCTATTTAAAATAGAAACCTTCGTCTCGACAATCTATGATTTTCTTATTTAAATGATTTATTAACAGCATGTCTCGGTATGAATCTCGATTAACGTCCCCTTCCCCTTCGACCTATACATATGTAAAGTGTTGCCTCTTCAATACAGTAATCGATATTTTATATTACATGGAATGTCAACAGGCTTGACTCGGGCTACCATGATATATGATTAATACGCTCTAAGAGATGAAATTCTCGTTTGAAATGTCCCGTGTGATTATTAGTGTAATAAAATTGATTAACGCTAACACATGGTCACTATGATCAAATAAGCAACGATAATTATTAGACCGTAATTATGGTTAACTCTGCCTAAGAACATGTATATTTTACTATGCGGATAAAAGCGGGCTATTCCGCGACGGAAGGGGAAAGGCTTGAAAAAAATTAAATGGGCATGTTCTACTGTTCTGCTTCAACTGGGCTAATGAAAACGAGCATACGCCATTCCGTGTGCTACGGGGAAAGTTGTGCTCGGACAACGGCACTACGGATCACTGTTAATTCGAATTCTAATTGTCAAGGTTTCTTTAGATGGGTTCACACTGTATGCGAATTCAGTCCACATTACAGATTATTTGAATTGAATTCAAACTGAACCGCGCCACAATAAATGCGCATAACTACCGGTAGCCTACTCGATCAAGATTTCGTCAGGTTTTTGTCTTATTCCGCCACTGATCGACCGTTGTCTTACATCCCTGGGCTTTCAGAAGATCGGCCAGTCTTCTGTAAATTGCGTTCCCTGCAGCTGCACCTGTAGATCTTCGCCTCTCCAAAGATGGAGAAGGAGAAGACTCCACGCCTTACCCCAAACCGTAACTCCGACAATGACAGCAGAAAAAACCCTGGAAAATATACACGTTTTCCTCCAAGCGACAAAACGGAAGTAGAAGTAAACAATAGCGCAAAGTTATTCGGTTCCGATAAACCAAACCCTTTGATCAGAATCAAGCTCGTCACACTCAAATTTCGACTGCGAAGAACCCGATTTGGAATAGTTGCTCCAAATTGAATTCGGGAAAATAAGCAGACACGTTATTTCAGATTCAGTTCGGTTTTTAGCGAATTGAGTGTGACGCCAAAATCCGGAATAAGACTTTTCCATTTTATTAGACTAACATATTTACACGTTGAAGTGTTTTCCTTTTCGAGCTGGGGGTGATTCTGTAGGTCGTATAATAGTGTGACGTTTGACCCGACCACAGCACACTGATAGGCCTACTACGCCACTGCAGTATTCTCTTTGCGGTATACCAATAGGGACGAAATGGATTTACAAATGTTTTTTTTTCTTTTTTGTTAGACTAACTTATTTATTGTTTTTCGAGGCAGGTGCTCGGATATTCTCGGGTCTTTTGCCTGAACACCTCACGGTCTTGAAATGAAATGAAATGAAATGGGGTTTAACGTCCTACTGTTCTGCTCCGACTGGGGTAATAAAGACGGGCATTATAGCCATACAGTGTGCTATGAGGGAAATATTGCCCACGACATCGGCCTACTCTTACATCGAATTCCAACTGTCAAGGGATCATTTACAAACATGCCAATGTGTACACCGGACCTTGGTGTTTTGTCTCATCCGAACGACTATACGTTGTCCCTTGCCAGGCTCTCTGTCCTGCCCCACTGACAAGGGGAACCACGCCGGAAAATACCGATGGACTTTCTCGGCCAATGCAGGGATCGAACACGGGACATTCAAGTAGTAAGGCAACTAATGAATATTCAAATGTTTTCTTTTTATCAGAATATGTTTTAAGTAGGCACTTTAAGAAAAAACATCCCAGCGCATTCTATTAGCACACTGGAATAGCTGTTATTATTTTTGAATAATGTCGGCTAGAACAACATGAATATGGATCTTGTCACAGAATGTAACGAGTAAATAGGTGGTATGAGTGATGGTTATTGAAGTTTCAATTCCTCCAGATAACGAGTAATCATTTTCGCGTTATTTAAATCGAATGAAAATACGGATTTAGGCCAAATAAATCTAAATTTAATTTCTTCTGGGTCTTAATAAATAATAAGCCTTTCAATTTAGATAGCCATAAATTTTATTAGCTTTCGTTAGAATTTATCGAATTCAAAATTATTTGGATCAATCAGGTTTTTTTTAAATATTACCGTTTATTATCTTTGAAGGGCATTTTGTGAAAGCGATATCCAGGAATGTTATCCATAAAGCTGTCTTGTTATTAAATTACCGTTTATTGCGTAATAGTTGGTGTAGGAGGACCCCGCCACACGTAAAAAAAAAATTATACCTAGGGAAAGGACCCAATATACACATACGCCTCAAACAACGACGTGTCAGGTCAAGTGAAGGGATTTGGTGGCTAGCCGTATGTGTTTGCCTTTTAGTCTAGCATATTGTGTCTTTGAATTAGAACATTACAAATTATCACACCTGCCACCTTCGCGTAATTACAATGCGCTATCATTATAATCACTATAAATTACAACATACGGATTCTGAAAGTCTATGTCATTATCAGATATCAACACTATCATTTGTGTTACAGGTATAAAACGAATTATATATGTATTGAATTACAATCCTTGAATGTCATTCTTATAGAAGTTGTATATCTGTGCTTAATTGTTAGATTATAAACTCTACTGACTAAATGTAAATATACAAGAGCTAAATCTGCACATTTCAGTCCTTTTTGATTAGAAATTTATTAACAGGATTAGACCATAATCAATTCTAGATGTCATCGGATAGGTCCGATTTTAAGTCAGTTAGAACGGATTAGCCATTTAATGATTTAATCTTGTTACGGTTGTTACAAGAACGACCAGCTCAGCCGAGAGAGACCATCGCGAATTTTCCGTCGTGGTTCCTCCTTCTCAGTGGTGCAGGACGGAGAACCTGGCAAGGGACAACGTATAGTCGTTCGGTGGGATGGAAAATCGAGGTCCCGTGTACATATTGAGGTGCACGTAAAAGAACCATTGACAGTAGGAATTCGATATAAAAGTAGGCCGTAGTGCTGCTGCCTGGGCAAAATTTCTCTCATAGTACACTGAAGTTTCACTTCCACTCCAATGATACCAATGTAATGAACTAGATTACATACAGTCCGTCAACATTCCAATAATTGTAATCTTTATGTCACAATCATCGGGTAAAATAATGACTTTTTCAATTTGTTTTTCTATGCCCTGCAGTCATAGGAAAGGAATATTATAGACTGCGGTGTCAATTTCGTGAGTAACTTCCATAATTCACGTCTGTTTACTTCAAGATTCTCCCGCCTGAATATAATGAATGTTTACCAAAACCTGAATGAAAATCCAAACAATTTTTCTTCGATTCTAGAACAAAAAATAGAGTATGAATAGACGAAGTACTTGAAGAGGAATAATTTGTTGTCTGAATCTTTATTATTGTGATAATTGTTCCGATCTGTGCCCGCATTATCGCTCCATAATGATGATTATCACCACGTAATGTATGTGTGGTTATTTTATCTATGATTGCCTAATTAAACATCTACTAGTAGGGTGACCCACCATAAATAAATATCTCCAAATATCTCGACAATTACGCCACAATATTTATATATATGCCAAGCCTCAAATCAGTTTCACACAATT